TTAATATTATGTGAAAATGTTATGATACTTGTTTAAAGTTGAGTTGATTATTGTGTAGATATAACAATGACTTATTTATAATAATAATTAATTAAAATCAGCGTTTCTTTATACCCGTTTTTATTACTTTGGCCTTTCTTTTCAGGCAGTTCCGGTAGACCTAGAACTTTGGCGCAATTATAAAAAAGTCTTATTTTGGTGTCGACTACAACATATTCAAATTTCAGGAAAATCAGCAGAGGGCCAAATTACACTTAAATAGTGCCATGTCCTTTGGAAGGATGCTTTATCATCACTCAAAAAGAAAATTCCTTGCCATCCGTCAAACTTAGGAAAATCATCCCTTGTATGAAAAAATATTGAAAATTTCATATTTTCTTATTTTTTCCTTAGACACCTAGATGGTGTTTCACGTTCAAATTTGGGAAAATGCTTGTTCAAGAGATGCTTTATCATCCCTCAAAAGGAAATTTCCTAGCCAGCCGTCAAACTTAAGAAAATCATCCCTTGTATGTAAAAATATTGAAAATTTAATATTTTTTCATTTTTTCTTCAGACACCGCCTAGATCTCGGCCTAGATGGTGTTTCACGTTCAAATTTAGAAGGATGCTAGTTTAAGGGATGCTTTATCATCCCTCAAAAGGAGAATTCCTTGCCAGCCGTCCAACTTAGGAAAATCCTCCCTTGTATGAAAAAATATTGAAAATTTCATATTTTCTTATTTTTTCTTCAGACACCTAGATGGTGTTTCACGTTCAAATTTGGAAGGATGCTTGTTCAAGGGATACTTTATCATCCCTCAAAAGGAAAATTCCTTGCCAGCCGTCAAACAAATAAGAAAATATGAAATTTTCAATATTTTTTCATACAAGCGATGATTTTCCCGAGGATTTTCCAAAGTTCGACGGCTGGCAAGGAATTTTCCTTTTGAGGGAAGATAAAGCATCCCTTGAACAAGCATCCTTCCAAATTTGAACGTGAAACACCATCTAGGTGTCTGAAGAAGAAAAAAGACAATATGAAATTTTCAATATTTTTTCACACAACTGATGATTTTTCTAAGTTCGACGGTTGGCAAGGAATTTTCCTTTTGAGGGATGATGAGGCATCCCTTGAACAAGCATTTCTTCAAATTTGAACGTGAAACACCATTTAGGTGTCTGAAAAAAAAATAAGAAAATATGAAATTTCCAATATTTTTACATACAAGGGAGGATTTTCCTAAGTTTGACGGCTGGCAAGGAATTTTCCTTTTGAGGGATGATAAAGCATCCCTTGAACAAGCATCCCTGCAAATTTGAACTTAAAACACCATCTAGGTGTCTGAAGAAAAAATAAGAAAATATGAAATTTTCAATATTTTTACATACAAGCATACAAGGGATGATTTTCCCAAGTTTGACGGCTGGCAAGGAATTTTCCTTTTGAGAGATGAAAAAGCATCCCTTGAACAAACATTTTTCCAAATTTGAACGTGAAACACCATCTAGGTGTCTGGAGAAAAAATAAGAAAATATGAAATTTTCAATATTTTTAGATACAAGAGATGATTTTCCTAAGTTTGACGGCTGGCAAGGAATTTTCCTTTTGAGGGTTGATAAAGCATCTCTTCAATAAGCATTTTCCCAAATTTGAACGTGAAACACCATCTAGGTGTCTAAGGAAAAAATAAGAAAATATCAAATTTTCAATATTTTTTCATACAAGGGATGATTTTCCTAAGTTTGACGGCTGGCAAGGAATTTTCCTCTTGAGGGATGATAAAGCATCCCTTGAACAAGCATCCTTCCAAATTTGAACGTGAAACATCATCTAGGTGTCTGAAGAAAAAATGAAATTTTCTAAATTTTTTCATACAAGGGATGATTTGCCTATGTTTGACGGCTGGCATGGAATTTTCCTTTTGAGGGATGATTCAGCATCCTTCCAAATTTGAACGTGGAACATCATCTAGGTGTCTGAAGAAAAAATAAGAAAATAAGTATGAAATTTTCAATATTTTTTCATACAAGGGATGATTTTCCTAAGCTTGACAGCTGGCAAGGAATTTTCCTTTTGAGGGGTGATAAAGCATCCCTTGAACGAGCATCCTTCTAATTTGAATGTGAAACACCATCTAGGTGTCTGAAGAAAAAATAAGAAAATATGAAATTTTCAATATTTTCACATACTTACAAGGGATGATTTTCCTAAGTTTCACGGCTGGCAAGGAATTTTCCTTTTGAGGAATGATAAAGCATCCCTCGAACAAGCATCCTTCCAAATTTGAACGTGATGAAACACCATCTAGGTGTCTGAAGAAAAAATAAGAAAATATGAAATTTTCAATATTTTCACATACTTACAAGGGATGATTTTCCTAAATTTGACGGCTGGCAAGGAATTTTCCTTTTGAGGAATGATAAAGCATCCCTCGAACAAGCATTCTTCCAAATTTGAACGTGATGAAACACCATCTAGGTGTCTGAAGAAAAAATAAGAAAATATGAAATTTTCAATATTTTTTCATACAAGGGATGATTTTCCTAAGTTTGACCGCTGGCAAGAAATTTTCCTTTTGAGGGATGATAAGGCATCCCTTGAACAAGCATCATTCCAAATTTGAACGTAAAACACCATTTTTCTAACTTCACCCTTTGGCGTGCTAACTCCACACAGGTAATTATTATAGACCTATCAAACCCTCGATCAAAGCCTAAACCTATTATGCGTAAAAGAGTGCTTGAAGAAAATGAGAAAATACAAGGAAAAATAAAATTTGTGAGATGTTTGTCACTATTGGCAAATGACATGTTAGTGGTGGTTTTAAAATTTAAAAATGAAACCCTAAAACTTTGGCATAAACCATAAACCGTACCCTGTAAACTAGGAAGGTTAAGAAAATCAATTTATAATAAATAACCCTTGGAATAACTCTATGTGTACAGAAAAATGGCTATTCTGGATTCTGGTATTCCTGTTACATTTTTCCAAATTTGAACGTGAAACACCATCTAGGTGCCTGAAGAAAAAATAAGAAAATATGAAATTTTCAATATTTTTAGATACAAGAGATGATTTTCCTAAGTTTGACGGCTGGCAAGGAATTTTCCTTTTGAGGGATGATAAAGCATCTCTTCAATAAGCATTTTCCCAAATTTGAATGTGAAACACCATCTAGGTGTCTAAGGAAAAAATAAGAAAATATCAAATTTTCAATATTTTTTCATACAAGGGATGATTTTCCTAAGTTTGACGGCTGGCAAGGAATTTTCCTTTTGAGGGATGATAAAGCATCCCTTGAACAAGCATCCTTCCAAATTTGAACGTGAAACATCATCTAGGTGTCTGAAGAAAAAATGAAATTTTCTAAATTTTTTCATACAAGGGATGATTTTCCTATGTTTGACGGCTGGCATGGAATTTTCCTTTTGAGGGATGATTCAGCATCCTTCCAAATTTGAACGTGGAACATCATCTAGGTGTCTGAAGAAAAAATAAGAAAATAAGTATGAAATTTTCAATATTTTTTCATACAAGGGATGATTTTCCTAAGCTTGACAGCTGGCAAGGAATTTTCCTTTTGAGGGGTGATAAAGCATCCCTTGAACGAGCATCCTTCTAATTTGAATGTGAAACACCATCTAGGTGTCTGAAGAAAAAATAAGAAAATATGAAATTTTCAATATTTTCACATACTTACAAGGGATGATTTTCCTAAGTTCAACGGCTGGCAAGGAATTTTCCTTTTGAGGAATGATAAAGCATCCCTCGAACAAGCATCCTTCCAAATTTGAACGTGATGAAACACCATCTAGGTGTCTGAAGAAAAAATAAGAAAATATGAAATTTTCAATATTTTCACATACTTACAAGGGATGATTTTCCTAAGTTTGACGGCTGGCAAGAAATTTTCCTTTTGAGGGATGATAAGGCATCCCTTGAACAAGCATGTTTCCAAATTTGAACGTAAAACACCATTTTTCTAACTTCACCCTTTGGCGTGCTAACTCCACACAGGTAATTATTATAGACCTATCAAACCCTCGATCAAAGCCTAAACCTATTATGCGTAAAAGAGTGCTTGAAGAAAATGAGAAAATACAAGGAAAAATAAAATTTGTGAGATGTTTGTCACTATTGGCAAATGACATGTTAGTGGTGGTTTTAAAATTTAAAAATGAAACCCTAAAACTTTGGCATAAACCATAAACCGCACCCTGTAAACTAGGAAGGTTAAGAAGATCAATTTATAATAAATAACCCTTGGAATAACTCTATGTATACAGAAAAATGGCTATTCTGGATTCTGGTATTCCTGTTAGATGCCATTCTTGGCAAAATGGAATATTTATCTAGCAGACAATGACAAAATTGACTGAGGTTCTCACTGAGGTTCTCACAATAAGTAACGAGGCAATTAACCCAAATGTCTTGTAAGCAAGGGTAAGAAGGATCTGACCATAAGTAAATAAAAATTCTATGATCTGAAAGCACATTAGTAAATATTCTAAAACCTATAGGCACTTGTATGCAGGATGCACAATAGTAGTGGTAGTGTTCTGATAATAACGAGGATAATAATAATCAGACAATGAATTTATTGGGAAGTTTTTAACAGTCACAAGAGTATGAAGCCTAGTCCAGACCTGACCTACATACATTTGCCCGCGCCAAGTTTCCTGACAAGATGGGAAACTTTGTTTTTATCGCTTTTGAAGCAAGTCTGGACGAGTTCGAAGCAAATGTTTGTTGTTTCAAACAATCTTATCAGTGGTGGTGCTATTTGGTGACATGTTTTTGTCTTTAGTCTGGACGCAATTGCTACCTCGTTCAAAAACTAAATCTTCTTTGAAACAAAAGACCTACACACATGTATAAATGTTTTGTTTAGGGGCAAATTTTTCCAAACATTTGTTTGTGGGTAGTGTATGTAGGTCTGGACTAGGCTTTAAACCTCCCTACCTAGATAAAATAAATGAAATTTTGATGTAAAGTTTTTTTCCATAAACTGTCTTACCTCAAATTTATACCAATCGGTATTCCACTGCGGGTGTAAAGTCCTACGACAGACATCAGTTTTATAAGTAGTGTTGCCCAATTTTATTTCCACATATGCATCTGTAGTGTCACTGGATCTATCCATTACCGGAAGATTTTTCCCAGAAATAATTTTCACCTTCACTTTTCCAGGCATTTTATGTTAATGTTTATAAAATTATAAATATGGTAAGTTACATTTAAGCACTTATGTCGAATAATTATACAAACTGACAACACCAAAAATTGTGCCAAAAACGTAGCACACAACTGGGACCAAATAAGATAGCCTGCATTTTATATTTGATTCGGTATTTTTGGTAACTTTTCAAACATATTTTGAATGAACTACTGTTGGTGCTATTTTTAGGATTTTCCGATAATTATTAATACCTACATTTTTAGTTTTCAGTTTTGCCTTGAGGCTCAGGCTTTCAACACAAGTTTTTTATATTTTTTTTAAGTAACTGTGGCCCTTTACCTTCAGCTAAGCTAGGCTGATGAGGCTCAGGAAACATGAGGTTAGAAATCCAATTCCGATTAATGGGATATTCGGATTTCGGATGGTTCTAGTCTAGAGGTTTTCATTCGTATCTGCTAGTACTGCCGTGATCAGGTTTAGTACTCCCGTTCTCAATAGTTGTATTCCTTTCACACCTAGGAGGAACTCCGGAACAGCTCCGGGGCGTTACGCGCTTATTCCTTTCGAAAAGTGTTTGTTGCACCGCCTTTCAAATCGGGGTCTTTCAATAACCCTTTTCACGTGACTCCGGTTTAACAAACCGCAACATACACATACCGCAACATACACATACCGCTCAAATTCGAGTGGTATAAATCACGTCACTTTGTAACCGGGTTAGAAAACGATATGTCATTTCTCTAACCATCGGCTCGGCGAATAGTTACGTTTAACGGTTAGAACAAAAACAAAAGAAAATTTGTAAACAACAGAGAGCGGGAAAATTGTGACAGGTGTAAACTGAAATATTAAGTTGTGTTTTGTTAATATTTTAAAGTTTCTACCTACCTATAATCAATTGACGAACATGGGAGCAATTAAACCTAAAATAAATAGTAGGGACTTTTTTTTTTCGAGATACACGGGAAATTTTAGTGCAGTTACTAGAAGGTAAATCAACCTATTATAAATATTTGACAAGTGGTTGGATTGCTTAAATTTTAAAATAACATTTTTCTAACCGTTCGTTTTCAAGTGGCATTTTCAATAACGTCATCACTTGACATAACGCTACTAACCGTTTTGTAACCCGGTTAGTTTAAACCGGTGCCACGTGAAAAGGATCAATGGGTCGACTACATGGAGCGAGTAGCTCGAGTGTTCCAAACGCTTGAAATGATTACAATGGTGGCGTTCACCAGCACTCAAGTTGAGTGATTAGTCAGCGGCTTTGTTGAAAACCAAAGAACTAAACAAACACACTGGAACGGTGGCTCCATAATGTTCCTACGGTTCCTACGCAAGGTTTTATGCCAGGAAGGACAACAAACAAGAGGGATCTGCATCTCTCTCTGCACTATGGCGGCTATTGAGAGCAGTCCCCGGATTTTATTTTACGGGTCGAGTCGAATTGTCTCGATATCGAATACGACAGCTCCGGACTTACTGTGTAATAGGTATTGATAAATCGGAAAATAGAATCGCTATTTTGACAATTCGATACGAATTTCCACTCGACTCGTAAAATAGAATCCGGCAGCTGCTGTGTTTGGATCATTGAGGTTAAGAAGATGAAGAAGCTCTTCTTTCTTTTACATTAATCGCAACGAGTGCGAACGAGACAATAATCCCTCCGTATTGCTGGGTTGCATACAGTGTGTCCCGCTTAAGGACTGACCACCCTTCTAAAATTTTTATTTTACAACCGATTCAATTCATTTCGTTTTGTCTTGTAGCTACTCGAATATGGCACTTATTAGGCTCATAATTTTATTTCTACGGCTGCACTGGTTTACAGGGTGTCCACATTTATAGGCTCAAATTTAAATTAGTACTATTAGGGATTTTTTTAGAAAAAATCTGTTAGCAGATTCTTGTTTAGAATGGTCTAAAACCCTAATGTACGAATTTTTGTTCCAATAGGATACAGGGTGATCACAACAAATTTTCAAAATTTACTGGACCAAACCGGAAAAATTTCACATTTTGAGACAAGCTTACTACAAGTTTTGGTTAAGGATGTTCTAAAACTATGTTGTATCAAGTTTTGTTGTTCTCATGGCCTCAAAATATGAAATTTTTCCGGTTTGGTCCATTAAATTTTAAAAATTTGATGTGATCACCCTGTATCCTATTGGAACAAAAATTCGTACATTAGGGTTTTAGACCATTCTAAACATTCTTGTTTAGCAGATTCTTCTGCTATCAGAATTTTTCTAAAAAAATCCCTAATAGTACTTATTGAAATTTGAGCCTATAAATGTGGACACCCTGTAAACCAGTGCAGCTGTAGAAATAAAATTATGAGCTTAATAAGTGCCGAATTCGAGTAGCTACAAGACAAAAAAAAATGAATTGAATCGGTTGAAAAATAACAATTTTAGAAGGGTAGTCGGTCCTTAAGCGGGACACACGGTATATCAAAATTCGCCTCACTAGCATAAAATACAGTGGCATAAACCTTTACATACAGTGGCGACAATAGAGGTCCCGCCGCCATATTGTTCCCAACCTCTTGTTACTTTTAAATATTAATATATAGAATTAAAATGGACACTTCGATTGGGAACAAGATGGCGGCGTTTTCAATAAAAATATATGGGATTTTAGAACCAATCAAAAATAAGACAGCAATTGTCGCCACTGTGGTAATAGAGTCACTGTAGCATAAAGCAGTGCGCCCGTTCATGTGTGCTGAGTGTTTGTTTAGTTCAATGTTGAAAACAGATGAAAATCATCTCTAGGCCAATCAAAACTGTTCTACCTTGTGTATTCCACTGGTTGGAACAAAAACGCTTACTAATCACTTAACATGTTGAGTGCTGGTGAACGCGACCACTTAGTTGTATTTCTTTCAAGAGTTTAGAACACTAGAGCTACTCGCTCCGGCTCCGGTGTTAGTCGATCCAGATTTGAAAGGAACGCTGCATTTTACATACTTAGAACGCCATAGAACGTATAGTCATCAAATACGTTGTTTACAATTGTTTATGATAGATGTTCATTTAAATCCTATATATTCATATTTATAATTAGCAAGATGTAGGGAATGGCGGCGGTACTTCTATTGTCGCCATTGTTTGTGAAGGTTTATTTAGTCACTGTACTTGAAGCCAGCTCGTTGCCCCCCAAATATTAGTCCGCGAACGTAGTCGAAAGTCGAAAATGTGAAATGAGGGCGGCCTTCACATTCCAACGTCCGACAGGTATTACCAAAGTTTACGTATTACCGGATAAATGAGGTCATGGACGAGTCGTCGGGCGATCATTGAAGCTAGAGATGAGCTAAGTCGCGAATATTCATTCGCAGTTATAACTGTGAATGCGATTTTTTATTCACTGCGAATATAAACTGCGAATGATAATTGTGGCTCCATACGTCGTGTTGCGGTTGCAAGTGCGACGTTAAGTAGGTAGAACCGATAATCATTTACTAGGTAGTTAAATATTAGGGCATTTACTTACAACAGTTACAACTGTAAATTAATATTATTTACTTACCTAAAAAAATTCAAATATTATCACAGGACAGGTGAAACAAATAAAATATAGGTTTAAACAAGGTATGGTGAATAAATAATAAAATATACGCGTTAAATTGAAACAACTTCGCAGTTCGCGCCTTTCGCGGAAATGGCTTGCACGCAGAATGCGGGCGATGTGGCGCATAGCGACGCAGGGATGTGCGTCTACACGTAGACTTTCATTGTCTACTTTACGTGTAGACAATGTAGACAACGTGTCAACAATGTAAAATAATATAGACGAGACATTCGAAACACGGACGATTGCGAACGCGCCGAACGCGGTCGTTTATTTTTCGTTGCTACTTGCTATTTGCTCATGCTACCTGCTACCATCGAAGTTTAACTGTGAACGCAGCAATCTGCTGCGTTCACTATTCGCTAGTCGACATCTCTCTGTCTCTGTTCGGTGTGTGCAGACCAATGTGAACTGCAGTTCCGCGAGTTCACGTCAGCTGTTTGCAATAATATGCAATATTCTAATATTCACATTTCGCAGTTTATTTTAAAATAATTAGCAGATTGCGATTGCGACTTTTCATTCGCAGTGAATTTTTAGCAGTTCGCGATTTTCTGCTCATCTCTAATTGAAGCTGAAGGCACTCTGGGGCCGGATTACGATCATTACGAACATCCGCATGGGCGTCGTTACGAGGTTTCTCAGGGGTGGAGGGGGGGGGCAGCATTATAATAATGATCAGTCCCAATAGCGCCGAAGGCGAAATTTTTTTCGGTGCCACGCCACTTTTTTGAGCATTTCAACGTACTTATTCGATATCGATAGTTAAAAATGATGGTATTTTTTTCCGCAACAAATTCACTGTTCGCATCATTTGTTTGGGTAATTGTCTAATAGCCGGTATTATAAAACACTGAACAGGGCCATAGCTAGAGTCAAATTTATAATAGGGCATGACAAATTTGACATAGGGCATACCTACTTGCCCCCTCCTTAAATTTTTTATAGGTAAACAAAATGGGGCTAATGGCGCCGATCACCGAAGGCAAACTTTTCAATAAATCAAGGTTCAGGTTTGTCTGGTAATGGGTATGTTAATGACGCATCTGATCGGTACCTTATAGAGATTTGCATTATGTTGAGGCACACTAGATCCTATAGATGATGTCATAAAGTTACCTGGCAACCTACCTCTCTTGCCTCTATCAAACAACTTTGCAATAAATAACATCTCTGGCAAGTAAATAAAATGGCGCAGATGCCCGCGCCGGCCGCCTTCGGCCATTCGTACTCTTTCAAAACAAAAAAAACTTCCTCTGTGCAAACGTCAAACATTGTTCATTACATTTGGGCGACTTAGGCGTTTTCGAAAACATTGATTCTCGCTTACTCGATTTTAGGCATTATCTACTCTTAAATTTTCTAGGGAAACCTTAATGCATGTTGATTTTTAAAGGTAGGGCATTATCATTTAAAAGATAGGGCATTGCCCCCCAATGCCCCCCCTGGCTACGGCCCTGCATTGAACCGATGGTTGAGTTTCAACTTTCGGTTTACTTCATGCAAATCGATAGGATTCAACCGAAAGTTGAAACTCAACCATCGGTACGAACTCTGTTTTACTGCTTTCTTGTTCAAAAGACTATTTCTAGGGGGGGGCAAATGCCCCCTCTTGCCCCCCCTCCCCACCCCAAACGACGCCATGAACATCCGATACGACCGATACGTTTTCGAGTCGAAGAGGGGTCGAAGACAAACTCGAACCGTAGACGCATCTAGGGTTGCCAACCGTCCTGTATTAAGCCTAGTACTCATAACTGCGAAATTCGCATTTTTTTGACATTGCGTTGACAATTTGACGTTTTATGCGTGTATCAAACGTCAAATTGTCGAAGCAATGTCAAAAAAATGCGAATTTCGCAGTTATGAGTACTAAGCTTTAGGAAGGACGTCCTGGGGTGCGTTCAAGGACGGCAATGCTAATGCCAAAACCTACTTTTCCCCCTCCACTT